GGCAGTGGCTTAAAACTTTGTTTCAATACTAGATTTTGATCAAAAACTGAACGAAATGTGAATTTTTTTTCTTTTGCAAATGAAGGTGAATGTTAATAACTTCTCGCAAAACAAAACAAATAACGAGTGTCTCTAGTATCTCAAATGAATTTAGTCCGGAATATAACACTTAAATTCACCATTCATTTAACAAGCCAGCTAGCCGAGTGGGGAGTGCGACGCGTTACAACCAAAAAGACGTGGGATCAAATCCACGATATATTCGACTTCTTTTTGTATGTTTCTTTAAGACAGCCTTTAACAACTTACAAAGAATAAACCTAAAGAAACAGAAAAGCAGTAGCACCAAATCCTTATTATAAGAATATAAATAGATTGTAGGAAAGTAAGCATATTTAAGATGAATACAAGCTATAGCAACATAACATTCAGGCGCATGCGACGTTATAATTCCGAAAATGATGTAGCATGCATGGAGGGCTCAATAACCAATGATTCCATTATTATATACGGTGATAGTTTAAGGAGCCTTCCAGACGTATCTATACACAATAGCTCAAGGATGATTGAATTAGAAATGCAAATTGAACAACTAAAACAAACTCTTCAAGCTGCTAATACAGAAGTAGATAATTTGATACTGCAGAACAATGACTTGCAAAGGGAACTAGAAAACTGCCAGATGGTGATTAAATCACTAAGAGATATACAAACTTTAGGACCTGAAAAAATACGCGGTATGTCACCCAAGCCAGCTAGCAGTTTAAACAAAACACAACTTTTCAATAAAATTCAAAAAAACGCAGTAACTCAAACCGATGATAATCCGATCTCACAAAATATTAAAATAAAAAGGAATAAAAGAATTAAATTGCTATTAAAACCTAAAATTATATATGCAACTAAAAACCTTCTAAAAAAATTAAAATACAAAATAAGAGGGTTCGAAAATTACAGAAATAACTGGAAAACTTAAAGATAGAGAAGAATAGAATACAACATAAATTATTAGAATTGGAAACACTTACTAAACTAAAAATATCAACGAAGGTCCAGAAAAAACAAGAAATAATACATAAGCAGGAAAACTACTCTTCAAAGCTGCAAGGAAAAGGAAATAAAATGGAAACATCAGAAAGAGACAGGGCACTAAGCGGAAAAAGAAAAGAGAGCACAAAAACACTGACAAGAATAGAAATGTTTTCGGACAGAATAGGGAGTGGACTAGCAATCAAACTAAAGCAACAATTGGAAAATACAAAAATAACAAATTACTGTCAACCAGGGGGGAAATCATAAACAAATATTGAAGCACTTTGATTTATATACCAAAGATTTGCAAGAAAATGACTTAGCGGTAACACTAATAGGAAACTACGACATTAAAATGGGGACATCATATGTGGATGAAATTCGAAGAATTGTGAGCAAAGAAAATAGAAAATTCAACATTTTGTTAGGAAGTATAATATACGACAACATAAATGATGATAAAATCTTTACTATTAATAAAGAACTCTTTAATCTAGCTGCGGTATCTGAGAACGTGAGATATCTTGAAATAAATGTAAAAGTCAAGGTAAAAGTAAAAAATATAGTGATTGAGGAAACTGTTAAAAGTATCAAAGGTAGTCACTTTAATGCTTCGTCTTGTTTGCACTTTATCAAATTAAATTCTAATTTAAATTGTTCACTAAATTTTTTAGACACAATCAAGACTTCATTAACTGGTTAACGATTGTGCAGGCTAATATTCAGAGTATTAATAATAAATATTTAGAGCTAAAATTATTAACAGAAAATACAACTTGTGATGTGCTTTGTCTAACAGACTTGGACCAATGAATTGAAATTAGGCGTAATGACTATCGAAGGCTTTATACTTGTATCATGTTACAATAGGATGTTATTTGAACATGGAGGTACAGCTATTTTTGTTAGACACTCACTTGAATATAAAGTAAGACATGACATTGTAAAGTTGAGTATTGAAATGAATTGTGAACTAGCGGCAATTGAAGTAAAATCGTCTAAATTAGTTATTATTTGTGTATATAGACCTGATTATGATTATTTAATATTCGAAGATATTATGACTAAAGTTATCGAAAAAATAGGTAGGGAAAACAAAAGAATTGTAATTGCAGGAGATTTTAATTTAAACCTATTGAAACAAAATAATAAAGTATGCAAATTTTTAAAACTATTGAGTGAATTAAAATGTAAATTCGTCTTAAATGAGCCAACCCGAACCAAAGGCAAGTCTTCCACATGTATTGATAATTTCATTTTAAATGACGATGATGATTTTCAGTATCACAGTGGTAAAGTATTAGACGTAAAGTTATCAGATCATAACGTCATAGAATTAAAGTATAAATTTAATTCTAAGTATCCTAAACCAAAGGAGAAGACTGAGGTTAGATCTAGAATAATATCTCAGGAAAATATAAAATATTTTCATTACTTGTTCTGTAAAGACTTTGAATGTGTAAGAAAGGATATAAATTTGAAACTTGACGCAAATGAGAAAATGAACATTCTTATAGACTATATACAATATTGTTAATATACTGCATTTCCATTAAAAACAATTAAACCTATAAAAAATAAGAATAAACTAACAACCAAAGGTATTTTGATATCTAGAAATAATCTTCAAAAACTCGAAATATTACATAACTTGTATCCAGATAAAATTAGAAAATCCAATCTAAATAGATATAAGGGAATATATAGAAAAGTACTACAAACAGCCCAAAAACTTAGGAACGCGTCTAGAATTAAAAATTCCGCGAATAAAATTAAATCTACTTGGACAATTATTAAAGAACAAAAAAATCATGTTAAAACACAAAGAATAAATAAAATTACTAAAATTAAAAATCACTGTAGGGACATAATTACAAATAATAAAAATATGGCAAACAGTTTCAATGAGTTCTTTTGCAATATAGCTGGTAAACTTATGGAAAATTTAGAGGTTAAGGTTGAAAAATGTAGCAAATATTTAAAAAACCCAATAAATAATAAAATTAGCTTTCATAAAATAAATAATTCTGAATTTTGGAATATTATTCATAGTTTAAAATGTAAAACGTCTAGAGACATATACGATATGTCAACAAAAACTATTAGAGAACTTATCATCCACAACAAAGACATGTTTGATATAATATTGGAAGTCTTGAATGATTGCATCATAGAAGGAATTTTCCCAGATAGCTTAAAAATAGGAAAAATTGTGCCACAGTTCAAAAAAAGGACAAACTATTGAAATTGGTAATTACAGACCGGTGTGTATATTACCAGTTATATCAAAGATTTTAGAAACTGTCTTAAAATCTAGGATATTAGACTACTTTGAAAAAAAAAATCTATTTACAGACTGTCAATTCGGTTTTCGCAAAAAAAAGATCAACGGAAATGGCTATTAAAAAAACAGTATACTTTATATTGGACGCTTTGGATGGATCGCAGAAGGTATCTAGCATTTTCTGCGATTTATCTAAGGCGTTCGATTGTCTGAGTCATGATATCTTAATTCATAAAATAAAATTCTACGGATTTGAAGGAAAAGAATTGAAAATAATGCAGTCTTATCTTAACAATCGAACGCAAATAGTTAATTTAAATAATACTAAGTCTGATTCACAACATAGTTACATTGGCGTTCCGCAGGGCTCTATCCTGGGACCATTGCTGTTTTTAGTGTATGTGAACGACCTTGCAAATAATTTACCTGACTGGGCGATGGTTACACTATTCGCGGATGATACACAGGTTGGTGTTAAAGATAAAAATGCAGTCCAAGTATCCAAGAAGACAAATGATATTTTAAATATGCTTAAAAATTGGTTTGAAACAAACGGAATAATTTTGAATGCAGAAAAAAGTATCATTATTAATTATGCAAGCAAAAAAACAAATAGTCACAAAAAGTGACGTCACATTTTTAGGGTGTACTTTCAATTCCACTTTAAGTTATGAAACCCATATAGATAACGTCTGTAAAAAGTTAGCCAGTGCTAATAACGCTTTATTGAAGCTTAAGCCCATTATTGACAAGAAAACTCTTATATCCGTCTACTTTGCATATTGTCACTCAATTATTAGCTACGCGATTACGATATGGGGAAATGCTACACAAATTGAAAGAGTACTGATTTGTCAAAAAAGGTCGATTAGAATTATACATGGATTGCAAAGATCGACATCAGCTAGAGCCTATTTCCAAAAAGCGAAAATTATGACTGTCGTTTCGTTATATATTTATAGATCGCTTCTAGAAGTGCACCAGGGAAAATATAAACTACCAATGAAGAAGCACGTACACAACTACAATTCTAGAAATCGCGAAAGATTAGTTGTTCCAAGAACCAGATTAGTGAAAGTGTTCAAGCAAGGTCTTGCAATAAAAATTAAAATGTACAATAAATTGCCAATAGAAATAACAAGACTTCCGCTAAATGCGTTCCGACAAGTGATAAAAACGTTCTTTTTAAATCACGCTTTTTACAACATAGAAGAATATATGCAATGTTCATTTTCTGTCTTGTTTGACACTAAAATAATGTACTGTAAATGAGATGTATTTTAATTATATTATTGTAATTGTATAATTTGTAATTTTATCTATATTATTGTATCTATATAATTGTAATTTTGACGTACCAATGTTACGTAATGTAACGTAATGGCAAATAAAAAAATAAATAAAAGAATAACACGGTCAGAAGAACGTCATAATTATTATTCGAATTTAGATTCTTCACCATTATTTCCCTCCAAAAATGAATATGAGAGACATTATCCACAGTAATTGCCTAAAATACTTTATATCTTGCAACGTTAAATGAGTAATTATGTAAAATATTATAATTACTCTATATCTCCCTAGTAAAGCACAAATTCTGCCCGCTGTAAACTCTCTAAGGTATTTTACAATAAAGATACAATGTCTTACAATAAATAAAATGTTTGATTCATTTGTATTTCAGAGCAACCCTGCATACAAACAAATAATTTTTCAAAACCGTGTGAGAAAAGGATTAAATCAAATTCTACTGATTGTAACATAAATGATGTTCGTAAAGGAAATCTCGATTTAGAAAGTCCTACTATTAAATCAAAGCCTAAATTGAAAAGAGATACCCCACCAGTTATTAAAAAAGGGAAGCATCCTGCAAAAATTATAAAAAAGAAATTTTTTAAGCGGACTGTAAATATACTTGCGGAAAACACTTCCGAGGCATCAACAAAATACATATTTGAATGTGATGATTGTAGAAAAAAGTTTTATACAAAAGGTATTCTCGCCGACCACATATCATACAGTCATAAGACGCAAAAGAACACAGATGCAGTTCAGACACAAGTTGAACAAACTTCAGTATCACAACTAATGGATATATATAACTGTGATATTTGCGAATTTAAAACATCTCAAAGACGATGCATTTTAGCACATCTTAAAGCGCACGTCGCTAAGCAAGTGTACTGTTGTCATAATTGTGAATATAAATGTATTAGAAAAAGTACGTTGCGAAGGCATATGAAAATACACACCGGAGAAAAACCTTTTTCGTGTAATATCTGTGAATTTAGATGCATTACAAAGAGTAATTTGCAAACACATATGAAAATACACATCGGTGAAAAACCTTTTTCGTGTAATATCTGTGAATTTAGATGTAATACTAAAGGTAATTTGCAAATACATATGAAAATACATACTGGAGAAAAACCATTTTCGTGTAATATTTGTGAATATAAATGTGTACTAAAAGGTACTATGAGAACACACATAAAAATACACACCGGTGAAAAACCTTTTTCGTGTAATATCTGTGATTATAAATCTATTACGAAAAGACATTTGCAAACACATATGAAAATACACACCGGTGAAAAACCTTTTTCGTGTAATATCTGTGATTATAAATCTATTACAAAAAGTCATTTGCAAACACATATGAAAATACACACCGGTGAAAAACCTTTTTCGTGTATTATCTGTGAATATAGATGTATAACAAAAAGTAATTTGCAAACACATATGAAAATACACACCGGTGAAAAACCTTTTTCGTGTAATATCTGTGAATATAAATCTATTAGAAAAAGTCATTTGCAAACACATATGAAAATACACACCGGTGAAAAACCATTTTCGTGTAATACCTGTGAATATAAATCTGTTACTAAAAGTGTTTGCAAAGACATATAAAAATACACACCGGTGAAAAACCTTTTTCGTGTAATATATGTGAATATAAATGTGCAAGAAAACCTGATTTAAAACAACACATAAAAATACACACCGGAGAAAAACCTAAAAAAAAGAAAAACTTAGTGAGGCAACACTAGCAATGACAACATCGAATGACTTTTGTCACGTGTGTTGCCATTTCCTAAAAAAAAAGATGAATGGGTGTCCCAAATAAACCGTCAAGGTGTGCTATTTCATTCATGCAAATAATTGGTTGATTTTAAAATACTATTAGGTATACTAGAACACTAAATAACATCAAGTGGAAACTATTTGCAAAACTGCCAAGTACGCGTTTAAAAAACATCACAGAACAAAAAGTTCGTTTTTGTGAAGAAGAAAAAATAAAGTAAAAAAATCAACTTGAATAAAATGTTAACTTTAGTTTTAAACATCAGATCTCAGTTTTGACACCATTTTAATGCCAAAAGGCAATCATGGCACTTCTTAATTAACCTTTTGGCCGCCACAGTCACATATATGTGACAAGCAAGCGCCGAAAACGGTGAAATTGTGGCTTGGCATGGAGGGAATACCTACCTAGCTACATATGGAGAAGGCAGATCTCTTAAAAAAGAATAAAACTACAAGTTCAAAAGGCTTCTTTTATTTTAAAGACATTCCTTAGCAATAAAATGACGAGTTTTCCTTACAACTAAGTAATAGTACCTAGGTACCGTAACTAAGTGGCTACCTAGAAAAAAATTAGAATAAATTTGCGTCCTGGTCGTAACGCAATAAATATATTATGCTCGAATTTTTATATTTTATTGACAGTTAAGCTATTTTTTCACTATATTTGAAAATGGGACTTGGTCTATGTCTTGACATCTCTTTTCCACAAATTTTAGACCATTTTTTTGATAGTTTTGTAAAATATAACCTTGTAAATATGTCTTAGATTATCTATGGCTTTAATAACGCCAATATAACATTTCCAATTCTTTCTTATACGCACAATCACAGTGTCACCTACATTCCACGTGTCTATATTTTCAATAAAGTCTGTTTCGTTTATTTCTCTTTTTGCTTTATTTTCTTTGCCATTTTCTCTGCCACATATCTTATCCGTTTCTTTGGTAGTTGTAAAGTCCGTAGTTTTATTTTGTTTCTGTCCAGTCTTTTCTCCTACGGTTTCCGTACTTTTGGTGCTTTCAAAACCGATTATTATTTCATTTTCAATCACTTCTCTGTTTTCGTGTTTCGCAACTGCGAACTTTTTTTACTTTAACTAAACTTTAACTAAACACACTCTACTTTCCGTGGCATATAGTTTTCGTGTATCTTTGGTGTTTTTAAAATCAGTCTTCTCATTTTCAGTCTCTCCGGTCTTCTGGACTTCTTTCATATTTCCAGTGCAGTCAATATTAGTTTTCTCCTCATTTCTTTCCGTTAAACATTCTTGATCCAGCATAGCGATATCCTCCCAAATGTTCGCCTCTAGGCCATTGACCGTCTCATCTCCGGTCTTCTGTACTTCTTCATATTTCCAGTGCAGTCAATATTAGTATTCTCATCATTTTCTTCCGGTAAACATTCTTGATACAGCATAGCGATATCCTCCCAAATCTTCGCCTCCTAAGTCATGGACCCTTTTTAGCTCGCTATCATCCTCACAATATGTAACATCTGAGTCAATATCGTTGACATCTATAATGTCGCTATCGCTATGTACACTCATATCCCCACTCTCTTCAGTAGTAGTAGATGTAATGCTGCGCGAAAATTTTCTTTTTGCAGGTTTAATGGATTTTTCGTTAGCTTTCCTTGTACGCTTACGATTTTTTGCGTTATAGGTATTTTATACGAAAAAAAATCTGGATTCTGGTTCTCCTCATCGCTACTCAGAGTGCCGTATACATTTATCTCTACTTCAGCATTTTGAATATTTTTATTTCCCTTTTCCTCATTCCTACTGTCTGTTATTTTTTTGGTCTTCTCTTTGTTATTCCCTTTGGTTTTGTATCTGTTTTTACTTTTGAGTCAAGATCCTTTTTTCATTTCCAGGTTGTACGTCGCATCGTTTCTTCCTTTTTTTCTCAGTTTTTGGCTGATCTCCTCCTCGAATTTCTTGTAATATTTCAAGTACTGCAGATGATGCCGCGTTATTTACATCTTCGGCTGATGATGTTTGTCGCGGTAGCGTGATTTTGGACGATCGGGATTTAAAATCTTCCACATTTTTCAAAACCGCTTTGAATGTTTTTTGCAGCAGTTTCATTTTCGGTAATTTTATTGTAAAGCTTTAAGAGTAAATTGGGAAAAGCTGATTTAATAAGGGTTTTGTGCTTCCTGTCTGATGTTGCTTTCCAGTGTGTTAGTATATTACGCCAATAGCGTTTTAACGGTGCAAAGAATGACACGTCTAGTGATTGCAATAAATGGGTTGTCTAAGGAGGAAGACACACAAATGAAATGTCATTTTCTTAACAGCTTTTTAAGACACGTTCAGAAAAATGCGATGATAAGTTGTCACCAACAAGTTTACGTCCTGACTTATTTTTGAAGTAAGGCATAATTACAGTGAAAAACCAGTCTTCAGAGCATACATTGTGAAACCACCCGCTTTTGGACCTATTATATTGTGTGTTTTCTGGACCTCCTGACGTCCATTGATCCCATAAATGTTCTGATTTATAGACTACGTATATTGGTAGCATCTCGCCATTTGCTGCACAACTAAACATAAGACTAACTGCCGTTTTGGAGTTATTTACGATTCTTTCGGGGTATTTAGTTCCGCGTTTAAATATATATTTATATAATTTAGCACCCGGGTCGTCTGTGAGGTTTGTTTCATCGTAGTTGATGATGTTATCCAGGCTTACCCCGTGTGCGGACTTAGAATAATTTTCAAAAAAATTGTCAATGACTGCGGTTGTTATTTCAGCTCTGTCTCATGAAATGTTAGCAGCTAACCGATGGGACAGTCTGTGTTTATGTCTTTCGACGAAATTTTGTGCCCAGTCAGGACCAGGTAAATTATCCTTCATGTTTCTCACATTTTTTCCTATCTTGTTCAAATACTGTTGAGCAAAAACCCTTAGATCCATTTTGTCCATCGGAAAACCCCATTCACTTAGGAGCAAACAATAATCCACAAATATTTGTTCCTCTTCACTGTCTCTTGTGCTTCATGCAGTGACGAGATAATGTCGATTTAGGGATATTAAAACGTTTTGCTGCGCTCCTAATTGACATATGTTTATTATTAACTTCTTCCATTGCCGTTTCCAGGTCGTCCTTCGTAAATGAATTATAGGGTGTATAATTTTTACCATTTCTGGTATGCCTGTAAGTCCTTTTATATTTACGTCCCATTCTTTCTTCACATTAGACTTGTTCGTCCCTTGAAAAAGAACAATTGAAACATCACCTTAGTATTTCTGAACATATTCAATTGGGAAATGTCGGGTTATTTGGGACGGCCGGTCCAAATATCACCTCAACTTTTCTGAACTCTAACCGGCCCAAATAACACTAAATGCTGTCCTAAATATCACCGTAATGAAAAAACTAAGAAAAATCTAATAAGATTATTGTTTATTCTACTAACAGATATCGCATTTCAGTCCTGAATAACTTTACTGTTCGTTGATCATAATGATATTCTACTTACGTTTATAGTTTTTGGACTGGAGATGAAAGTTGGACACTATAGAAACTGAACAAAAATTTATTAATTCAGAAACCATGCTTTTTTGCGGCACATGCAACAACATAACCTCAAATGTCAAACTGTCGAAATTGTCGATGGATGTAGTGTTGCCAGATGTTTTTTTTCCTACTATTAACCTAAAACCACACATTTCCATGTGAAAACAATAATTTGGAGTGTCCCGAATAGCATCGGAGGTCCCAAATAACCCCGGTTTACGGTAGTGTTTTTTAAGTTTTAATTAGTGTAAAGTGAATTAAAGTGTTAATTTTGGTAATTCAATCGGCAGCTTTTATTGTCACGAACCTCAAGCTCGTACAGATCGCGGCACGTAAGTTGAACTAAAATGACGGTCGTTTGCGCAGGTACAATTTTGGACAAAAATGTTAGACACATGCTCCACGGTTGCCTGAAAAATTCAAAAATCTTAAAGGAAAAACTGTGAATTCGTCGTATTTAAATATATTTTTGGCCCCCCGTGTGGGGGTTTTTGCCTTTTCGTTAATAAGTGTGAAAAAGAAGTGAAGTAATTTAATTAAACAAAAAACGAAGTTTCATAAAAATAATTTCGATTTTCTTTCAAATAATTGTACATCTTATTACATAATTTATTTGTGATTGTTAGGTATTATTAAATAGAACAGTTAAAGGAATACTAATAAAAATTTAATACATCAAAAAGTTAATCTGTTTATCTACATGTTCAATCACTTTCACTCATTGGCATGACACCTTCTATATAATTTCCTAGTGGTATACCAGAACTTGGGCCAGGAGTTGCGATTTCATCTTCTATGTCAGTTGAGGAATCCAATTCAGAATCACTGCTGTCAGAAAATCCAACCCGTATTATAAATTCTTCCGTCATTTTATCGATGACATATCGCTTTTGACATAAGCTTCTTCGATTGTCTTAACTTTGTCGCATAGCTTTTTCCAATCACATGGTCCCATTGCAGTTACCTTTTCGTTCATTAACTCTATAACACGGGGCACATTCCATCGTACATTTTTGCTACTTACATAATCCTTTATAGCTGCCCATGCTATTTCTATAGGGTTCAGATCTGGGTGGTAGGGAGGCAGGCGAAGTACGTCAACACCATGTTCTTTAAAAATCTTGTCTATATTAAATGTTTTGAAGCGATATTTGTTATTTTTTATTAATTAGTATAATTGAGACTTCAACATTTCAGACGTAAATGTTATTCCTTTTTCTGAAAGCCAAGCCTACATATCAGCTTTCCTTGAATTCGCGTTTGGTGCTAAGTCATATTCCTTATTATGGTATGATGCATTGTCTGCAAGTATAATTGAATTTGGGAGAAGATTCGGTATCAATTGAGTTCGAATCCACTTCTCATAATTCTCAAAATTCCTATCGTCGTGATAGTCCCCGGACTTCATACCTGACTTGAACGTTAACAAGGCGTTAGGCACAAAACCAGTCTCCGATCCGGCATGTACTATCACAACACGTTGCCCTTTTGATAAGGGTTTTTTTATTCCTTTACTTGACCCATCTGTCCAACCTTTCGGTGTGGTGTGAGTAGCGTGAACATATGACTCATCTGTGTATACAATTGGTCTGTTTTGTTGTCGATACTGTCTTAATTTTTCTATGTAATTTATTCTTAACAGTCTGATGGCTGATGTTTCTATTAAAACTTTCCTATTATTCTCGGTGGCTTTCCATTTAAATCCAAGTTTATTAATTATTAAGGAAATAATGCGACAAAGACTTTTTTCAGAACCTTCAAATTTTATATCGGCACGTAATTTTGCACGAAGTTTACCAAGGGTCGGTAATTCGTTTTCAGTTAAATGAAAATTGCGAATACATCGTTTTATTACCCCCTTGTCAAAATTGTCTATGCCTGTGACTGGCTTTATTCGTTGCCTCTTTTTACCAGGGGTCCTAATAGTAACTATAAACTCTGAACTTTTACTTTATTTAACAATCCTTTTAACTGTGGATACAGACATTTTCGTAACTTTTCGGAAATTCTCTGAAGAATCAGTTATATTATTTTCTTTTAAAAAATAATTATAAACATCAAATATCATTCTTCTCCCTGTCTCCTTAAAGTTGGTTGTGGTCGAGTCATTTTTTTTAAATTAAATTAAATGATCACGCAATCGACAGAATTATAAATGTCAAAGAGTTGAAAACTTCGTACGCGATTGTACTCCAGGGCCACGCGGTGAGTACGCGGGTAGCGAGGGACAGAGTGCGACTGAGTGGGGTCTAGCGCCGCCACGTTGCTATGGTTATGCGCGGCCCCTCACGGCGCACCTCATACCGCACTTGGATTGAGACCCGAAAATGTGTTACTGTGCATACAAGGTCATAGTTCAACTTACGTGCCGCGTATTATAACAATATGTACAATAGCAGTGAAAACCCGCTTTGCTCGGTTAGTTTTTGTCTAATATTTATTCATGTATGTGTATTTTATTAAATTAATTATTATTTAATAAAATTAAGAGCACATGACTTTTCTTGTTAGTTTTTTATGTTTTTTTTTCTTACATGTGTTTTTATTTATTATACAAAAATACTTTATAATAGTCATGTTCTGAATACCTATATTACAATACATATTTATACACTACATTTACTGTCTTGTGTGCTGGTGCAGACATGAATTTTTTTTGTTCAACTTGCGAAAAAGCTACATACAGACGGATTCGGTGAATTTGAAAATTCTGTTGCGAAATTCAATCTTTAATGTGGCCATACAATACTTAAAAAATCAGAGTAGGGCAAAAACAACAGCTAAACTCATAAAAATACTTTATATTTATATACTAAGTATTTTTATGAGTTTAGCTGTTGTTATACATCAAAATAATGAAAATACACTACGTAAAGCATAGGATTTTATTTATTTGTATAAAGTTAACGTTCGTCAAAACGACGAGCATGCAATAAATATTTCTATTTCTTTCTTTCGTTGTTTTACTTACATATTTGTGCTTTCGCGCCAACTCAGTACGCACTGGACTGCGTCACGTGGTAGTCGTCTTAAGCCGGTAAGTATTTTTATTTATATATGATACGTAATAACTGTTCGTAAATTTGACGAATGGTTAGCTTTCGTGTAACTTTTACTCCTACTGTGATGTTGAATTTTGATTTGCATTATATCAGTTTTTTGCGTTATTTTTGTTTTAGTTATTGTTTTAATCACGGAAAATAGCTGGAAGATTAACTCTTTCGGATGAAGAAATAGCTCGGGCCTTAGATAATGTAGACGAAGCCTTAACAAATGACGGGTCAGATAGTGAGGGGGATGAAGACGAATTATTGATCGATGATGTGGAAAGTGATTACCATGACGAATCCCCTGACACTAAAGAAGTTGAAGAACAAGAAAGAAGACCATTTTCAGAATCAGTAAGTGTGTCACAAACAAACCCTCAAGCTTCATCAGCTTCCAATTATATTATTAGTTTGACTCAAACTACCATTCGAAGTAAAAATCGTCATGTATGGACATGGACTACTCAAAAAGTACGTACATCTTCTCGAACTTCTGCGATAAATATCGTTCGCGTGGGTAGAGGACCAACCCGTTCTTTGAGATCCATAAGAGACCCGATGGTTTAGTTTTATTCTTTCATAACTAATGAAATCTGTCAGGAAATTTTAGAGTGAACCATTGCAGAAATAGCTATAAAAAGAGAAGGCTATAAGAATTTGACATCGACTCAAAAATATTTATGCAAAGAAGAACTCAACGCACTTTTTAGTGTCTTGTTGTTGGCAGCTGTGATGAAAGGTAACCACCTAACAATCGAAGAATTGTTCAACCCGGCTTTTTGTGTCTTTGTTGTATGAGTCGAGAAAGATTTGACTTTCTCATAAGATGCCTAAAATTTGATGATAAATCTATAAGACTACGAACTTTGCAATCTGATCCTCTTACACCGATTCGAAAGATACGGGAATTATTAATGGAATAGTTTCGCAGCAATTATGTTCCTGGAACCAATGTCACCATCGATGAACAACTGCTGGCATTTCACGGTCGATGTAAGTTTAAAATGTACATCCCAAATAAACCTGCTAAGTATGGTTTAAAAATTGAAATGATGTGCGACAGTGGCACCAGGTATATGGTCGATGCCATGACTTACTTAGGAAAAGCGACAAACTCTGGTGGTCTCCCCCTTGGAGAATATGTTGTCAAGGAACTAACACGAAGTATTCATGGCTCGAACCGAAACGTAACTACTGATAACTGGTTTACGTCTATTCCATTAGCTAAACAATTGCTACAACAACCTTTCAAATTGACGTTAGTAGGAACATTACGAGCTAACAAAGGAGAAATACCAGAAGAAATGAAAAATTACCGCGGTAGAGTGGTTGGCACATCTATTTTTTGTTACGATGGACCTCTAACGCTACTGTCGTTCAAACCAAAGACCAGCAAAATGGTTTATTTGCTTTCATCTTGTGACGAAGAAGGAGCTGTGAACTCAACCACAAAACTCCCCAGCATAATCGAGTTCTACAATAACACAAAAGGGGGAGTAGACACATTTGACCAGATGTGTTCAATAATGTCTTGCAATCGAAAGACCGATCGGTGGCCCATGTGCATGTTCTATGGCATGTTGAATATATCGGGTATTAATTCTTACATCATTTATTGCCATAATGTCCTGGTAGCTGGTGGTAAGCCACTGTCACGAAGAAGCTTCATGAAACAGTTGCATGAGCAACTTTTCGAACCATGGTTAAAGTGCCGTCTGCAAACCACAACTATGCCTCGAAGAATTAAGGACAAAATAAAAGATGTGTTGGGTTTGAACCAAGAGGACCAGACTATTGAAGGGGCCTAAGTTTGTGAGCCATGTGGTTCTGGAAGTTCAGCAGCATCTGAAAGACTCAAACAATAAAAGAAAGAGTTGCGGTTTGTGCTCTTACAAAAAAAGACGAATGACAAAGAACCAATGCCATACTTGCAACATTCCTATTTGCGGCGAACATTCGGTTGATTTTTGTCCTAATTGTGCCAAAAAAATGTAAGTGTTACTATGTATTTTAGTAATTTAACTCTTTATTTTTTTATAATTTTGAGAAAAAAACTTTTATTTCTAATTAAAAATTCTTTATTAGTCATTTAAGTTGAAAGTGCCTTATTGATCTCAATAAATACGTGCCATGTAAAACTTATAACTGTAGACTAAAAAAATAAAAATATATCGATTTTCATTAAAAATGTTTTTAATTAATAGCCTAAATATTCTATAAATATAATATATAAGGAAAAAAATATCTGGTTTAGTTAAAAATAGGCTTTTGAAAATGATCGTCAAAAATACGAATGGTTAGCTTATCAGGGTAGTCCAGGAACAATAGCTTTGTAGGGTTAATACAGCAACAGCTTAAACATGTAGCGTTACATTATAAGGTAGGGTTAGTTTATTTTTGTACTTGCAACACTGAATACGTCCGTCAAGCATCAAAACAGTCAAAGTGTCAATGTCAGACTTGGGGTATGTTTCGAAACGTTTCCAGTATACTGCCGAATACTATTATCATTTGACGCCATGTTGTACTGGCGTGCCGCCGCCATATTGTGTCGGATATCCGGCCATATTAAAACAATTTTTAATTGTGTGTACTCTGAATGAAGCATGCCAGAATTTGTTTTTATTTATTCTAATACAAAAATTATAGAATAATTGCTGGTATCTCCATTCGGAGGCTATAATGATTTTTGGAGGACAAAATGACAAAATTAATAATCAGCAACACTTTTCCAATATGGCGCAAATGTATGACGTCATATACTGTCCTATGTTTTGGAACAAATCACCAGTATGGCGTCGATTCATGACGTAATCGAATTGGACAGTACACTGGGTTCTATTTTGGAACATAGCCTTGATCTGATTCACGTCTACCGACTTTCGCGCTGTTTTTTTTGGTATATGATATATGTAAAAAAAAAAGTAAAACAGAGTGACCGACAGAGCTCAACGGATTAGTAAGCTGAAGTGGCAATGGGCCGTCCATATAGCTCGAAGAACCGATAACCGATGGGTAAGAAAAGTTCTCGAGTGGCAGCCTCGTTCCGGTAGGCGTAGTGTAGGGCGACCCCCACTAGATGGAGTGACGACCTGGTAAGACATGCAGGAAGTCGATGGATGTAGGTGGCTCAGGACCGTGCTTTGTGGCATTACTTGGGGGAGGCCTATGTTCAGCAGTGGACTTGTGAAGGGCTGTAATGATGATGATGATGATGACGCTTTTCCTTCATATTTGTGTTTTATCGTATTTTACTTTTATTTAATAAATGCCGCTAATTATAAACAGTGTAATACGTCAGTTTAATTCTTTTCTGTCTAATATGCTTCGATCAATAATAGTTATGTTACAAAAAATAATTTCAAAGACTGAAAAGAACTGCTGTCCTTGTTTTTTTTTTTAGCTATACCGGTTTGGATACATTTTAATCATCTTGCATAACATTAACCCACATAACACTCTTGAATTGAAACTTTATTAATATCTACATTGTGTAATAATGATAAAAAGCGACTGCCAAAATCAACTTCTTTAAATCTTAATAACTTTTGCCCACTGCTGCGTAGCTACATGCACTTTTCTAATTCTTTATATAGTAGATCTGTACTTTCAAATGACATAGATTTCTTCTCTTTACAGTCTGGGGCACAGGTTCATACAATTTCATCTGTACAGTCTGGGGCACAGGTTCATACAATTTCATCTGTACAGTCTGGGGCACAGGTTCATACAATTTCATCTCTGTACAGTCTAGGGCACAGATTCATACAATTTCATCTCAGTACAGTCTGGGGCACAGGTTCATACAATTTCATCTCTGTACAGTCTAGCCCTTTACAACCGGACAAAAAAAGTTAAGATTTATTGTAATTTATGACATAGGTCGTATTTATAGAGCAATAAGCTACCTAGGAAAAATACTGAAAAAAATCGGAAAAGCTAGGTTTTCCTGAAAATTGCCTGCACGTTCGTGCACTTTAGGATTTGTTTTACATATGCACATTTGTGCATCTTTATGGATTTGTGTGTTTATTGAGGTAATTAGACAACATTTATGAATTAAATAATTATTTTTAGAAAAATTAAGTATTACTATAATAATCAGTCTTAATAATTATTATTAATAAGTATCAAAATAAGGAACATTTTCTTACTAAACATTAACTTAAACTTTTTATGTAATTAAATCACAATTAACAAGTAATTAAACGTTAAGTAATCATGAAAATTTAACAAAAATAGTAACAATTATTATCTAATAAAATTTTTGGCATATTATTAAAAAAAGTAAATTAAAAAAAAAAACAATTAGTTACAATGAAATTTTTTAAAGCAATTCTGTCCTCGAATTACACAAAGATAAGCGTTACATTTCAAGCAACGAATTTTTGTGCGGCTTCTACATGTTTCTAATTGGCAAAATCTAGGCGATTTTAAATCATCGAATACTGGCAAATGATCATACCCATCGTACCGTAGTGTTGCCGATAGCATTAGAGCTTTTTTAAATTTCCTAGGCATTATGTTTTCAACTTCCTCCATGCCTTCTGTGCGACGTTTTTCAGGGAAATTTAGTAAGACCTCAGATATCTCAAGACGAAAGTCTAATAAATCTAGTGTTTTATTCCGTCTGTAATTATTGGAAGTGCAATCTATTTTGTAAGCACGCCAAGCGTTGACTAAAGCTAAATCATAAAAATGAATGAGTACTTTTAGTGTCCATTTCCGAGTTTTTATGAATGTTCGGTAGTATTCAACCTGTTGGTCGAGAACATCCACCCCCCCATGTATCGGTTATAATTTTGAATTATTTTTGGTGCAGTTACGTCAACATAGGTGCGAGTTTGCTTATCCCACCTTTTAACCATTTCAGTACTGTTAGACCCAGTGCAGTTAGAAGCTATCAATACAGATTTATTGTCTTTCCACTTTACCAATACTGTAGGGTCCCTTACCATCTGCTGGCTCTCACCACGATACATTTGACTATCCTTCTTGAATTTTAAACTAGTCTTGTCCGGTATTCTATTCGCCATGATAGTTCCTGTGCTGTGTAGGTTCCGCTTTTGTAATTCTTCTATTAATGGAATGGTTGTGAAATGTCTGTCGTGATATAAACAACTTCCTTCGGGAACGCTTCTTGATAAGTGCAAAACTACGGAGGGTCCAAGACCAAGATTAGTGTCCCCAAACATTGTCCTAGCCCCTTGATAAATGTCAAAGTCTAACATAAGCCCATCACTTGTTGTGAGGACATAGTTTTTGAGACCAACTGGTCGTGGTTTATTTTTAACAACTTGTCTCAATGGGCATCGACCAGTGAATGGAATCATCTGTTCGTCGATAGAATAGTACCCTGAAACCCTTTCTTGCTTGTAACAACCATTGCGAACTTGAGTTATCATAGGTTGTACTTTCCACAACGGATTTGTCGCCTGTTGAGGTGGTGCAATATCAGTGCCTACTACATGCAATGCATTTCGCAGTTGTAAGAATCGATCACGGCTCATTTTGCTAGTTATTTTGTCTAGGGAAATGCCACTACGCCAGTACATAGGCAGCCTTGGGAATGGAATACATCCCATTAAAATATGAATACCAAAAAGTTTCTGTATCTCAGACTTCGTAGTTTTTAATTCATTTCCAGTTTTTCTCAAATAGTATAAATTTGTGCAAGTACTGACCATTTCAAAAAACTGGTCATCAAACTAATCTTGCACGTCATTAATTGGTTGTCTTACCGATTTAATAGGTCGTTCAGGGTACGTATGCTGTTTATCTTCAAACAAAGTAACTCTCCAGCGACTAGGGCGGGAACCAGAGCGACACGGACGTTTAGCAGTCGGTACTACGGAAGAATGTGCTGGTACGGACTGGTCTGGTAATAGACTGCCTTTCACCTGGTCATATTTTTGATTTTCAGCAGGATCTTCGGGTAAATCAAGGTCAAATAGATTGTCCAAGACAGCATGATTAAAAAACGGTTCCTCGTCGTCGGAATCGTCAAAACACTCAATGTCCGAATCATTGCCGTCACCCAATACTTTTAAAATGTCTTCGTCATGCATGCAGCCTAAAAAATTCACAAATAACCACTTAAATTACATCGTACAACGAAATGAAATAACACTGTAATTATATTAAAAAAGTATAAGTAACACCTAAAACGCACGAACGTGCATCTTTAAATTTAATGCAGAATAAATGAATTAATAATGAACATAATTACAAAAATACGTAATAATGTTATGAGTTGGTTTATTACTAATAGAATTAAATAGTTTAATAAAAATATTCCATTAAAACACGAGAAAATAATTATACTTACTTGAAGCGCCTCGCCCGCCAAAATACGCTGCCATTTTCAACGAGGTACTGTGGCGCAGTGACGAGTCATAACTTGTATTATGTTTTTTATTAAGGATTATATCATGCACGAGCGACCGATGTCGGTTGCGTTCGGTAAAATAAGTTATGGGAAGCGCTAGATTTTTTCAAAGTTAAATGCACGCTTGACTATGAGTCGGTTGTAAAGGGCTAGGGCACAGGTTCATACAATTTCATCTCTGTACAGTCTGGGGCAAGGGTTCATACAATTTCATCTCTGTACAGTCTAGGGCACAGGTTCATACAATTTCATCTCTGTACAGTCTGGGGCACAGGTTCATACAATTTCATCTCTGTACAGTCTGGGGCACAGGTTCATACAATTTTTGGCCATCTCCTTTTATTTTGACACATGTGTTTGATTTGTTGTTATAATAATTAAATAAAATTCTTTGAGTTTGATTTGTTAGTGTATAATATGGGTTTTTAGTTTTAATTGTAAAAATATGTGTTTGATTTGTTGTGTATAATATCATAGGTAAAGAGCAAAAGATTTTAGTATCAACATTTACCTACGAGTATCAACACTCCATATCAAAAGTACACTGTACTATTCCTAACCTACCGGGTATCGGGCATGGTTGTGGAAAAGTTAACTGATAGGATTGTGGGATCGTAAGTATTCGGATAGTGTGCCACAGGGCCAAGTGCTTAAAATACCTAACGACCAAGTTGCAGATCCTCAGTTGGAAACCTAAAGCATAGCCCGCCTGTCCTTGAAAATTGTAGAATTTATAGCGGCGCTGTCATCGGTGAGTAGTGACTGCGAAGTTAGCTGTTTATGAGTACAAGTAGATGAAGTTAGTTGAATAATGTACAAATTTTCATTTCATTTTTAATAATTTTGTAATTTTTGACAAAAAGAAACATTAAAAATATCTCTAACCTTCATGACCATGAAGGTTAGAGAACAGGAGAACGGTGGGCGTAGAACCATGAAGGTTAGAGAACAGGAGAACGATCGGCGTAGAACCATGAAGGTTAGAGAACAGGTGTACGATCGCCGTAGAAAATAGTGTCCCAGAAATATGGACACCATAAGTGAGGCGCTGCGATCATTAAGTTCGGTCAATAAGTCATTTTCAGTCTATTTTTCCCATCAGATGCTAAACCACTTGCATATCCACGCACAATGAAATATTTCTTCATTTTTTTAATGTTTCTTTTTGTCAAAAATTACTTATTAAAACTTTCTCATTAAAAATAAAATGAAAATTTGTACATTAATCAATTAACTTCACCTACTTGTACTCACAAACAGCTAACTTCGCAGTCACTACTCACCGACGTCAGCGCCGCTATGTATTCTAAAATTTTCAAGAACAGGCGGGCTATGCTTTAATGTTCTCCTGTTCTTTAACCTCCATGGCATTCTCTGAGCGGCCAGACTTTAGGGATGTTATTTCAACTTTCGGAATTTTATCGATAGTTGTTTTTATTAGGTACCACCTAGGTATGCAGGTTCATGTATATGGTTTGAGATAATTTATATATTATAATAAAATACATAAACCAGATTTATAATTGTTTTATTTACATATTTTGTAACAATTATTTACATTTTGATGTTACAGCTTATTTATTACAATTGAAATTACAGTTCACTTTATTGCTTATTATAAGTACAGAAACAAGTAACTTAAAAGTAAAAAAATACGATGGGTGGTCTTATTTCTATAATCTATGTCATCCAGGTAACCTTAGGGTAAAAGATTGTTTACAGTAAGAGATGTCGGTAGCGCAACTTTTTACCACAGCAATCAAAAGAGAAACGATATAACAATTTTTGTTTTTGACTATTTCATCCAGATGATATCGATCTACTTAATAATGTAATATTATAAAAGTTATTTAGAATTTCATGCTACTTTTTAAACCTTCAAAAAAAAAACAGCTTTAAATATTCAACGACTGTCTTCCACTGATATTTGCTTTTTAAATATTGATAGAAACAGAAACTTTATCATTCAATATTGATTATAAATAATACTTATTGAAAGTTACTTTTTTTTCATTTACACACTTTTTGTTTTGTTTTGTTTTTGCGCCCAGAAGCAAGGAAAGGGCTACTCTCCGAGAAGCGTGTATTTCATTGTTTGCAACTTATTTGTATTTCTTAATTAGTACAGCTTTTGTACTTTTATTTTATTATTTGCAACTTTCTGTATTACCTAATTCTTACTACAATAAAGTGTTTACTTACTTATTGACTTACTTATTTAATATTCAAAAAGTACCCAAAACCGAATCAGAGCACCCCACTATCCACGTGGTCTTGTCTGCCCTACCCCTAGTGTATATAAGAGCCCGGAGGCCCACCAATACGTATGCTAGGGACCCCTGTCCCCCTGGCATACGTCCGCCAAATATTTAGGTGTCACTCTAGACACAGGGCTCACTTTCAAGCCCCACGTCAAAAGAGTAACCCGTCACGCACGATTTTATCTGAGTAGGCTCAACAGTATGTTGGGCCGACACAGTAAAATGTCCCTTCGAAACAAGCGTACACTCTACAAGGTATGTATACGACCAGTCATGTCCTACGCGGGCCCCGTCTTTGCCCACGCAAACCCTAACATTTTAAATGAACTCCAAATAGTTCAGAACCTATTCTGTCGTCGAGCTGCGAACGCACCGTGGTACGTCCGCAATGCCGACCTTCATCGGGACTTAGAGCTCCCAACAATTCAACAATTTCTTAAAAAACTCTCTGAGAACTTCTTCAAAGCCTCAGAGTCGCACCCAAACCACTTAATTCGTGAGGCAGCTTCTTATGCAGCCCCACCCCCCTCTCGCTATCGTGTCCGCAGGCCGAGAAACTCTCTCTCGGACCCGCCTAATAAACTTTCAAACGACCTGAACTGTCTCCTGGCAGCTCAGGCCAACTCTAATTAAATAAAATTATTGTAATATCTAACATTAACTTGCCTTCGTAGGCACTCCCTCAGCGGCACTTAGCCGCCTGCGCCCTCTTTTCCCAAAAGAGGGTCGCTCATGATAAGGCACAATAGAGCTTAATCAGCCGGTTGCCTGTCCCCAAAGGCGGTTTTTAGAGGGTATCACTTAGGGTCCCCGGTAGGACAGTGAGCCCCTCATAACCACGATAGACCGGCTATCGTGGTATGCGTAATGCATTTTCCGCCTCCCTACGTATAGGGTAGCCCTTTAATTGCTTCGGGCGCAAAAAAAAAAAAAAAAAAAAAGGAGGGAGAGCAGTGCCCGCCCGCCGTAGGGAAGCGCAGGCACCGAGAGCCCAGGTGCCTGTGCTTCCCTACGCTATGGCGGAGGCACTGCTCATCCCGCAGCGCCGGAGCTGCCACGGAGCGCCGGAGCACAACTTTCCGGCTTCTTACCCCCCTAATCTCCAAAATTAACGACATGTACTCGATACCAAGTAGTATTGATACTTTTGATACGATACTTGGTATCGAGTACGTATCGATACTTTCAAAATATTCGGAACCCTACACTAATTGACGTTTGACATCAATGATTTGTCAAATTCATTTTGTAATTGGTGTAATTGCGTGTTATTTGCCAATTTGTATGAAAAGTTTAAAAAAATATATCTCATGTACCGTAAGTTTCCGCAACCTAAAACTTTGCAAAACGCTTTCTTTTAGTGAGTACTATCTACAAAAAAAATATGGGCTTTGAAATCGATGGTCCATATTGGGAAATATTAACCCGAAAGTTTGTTGTGAAGGGGGGGGGGATCCGATGCCCGTGCGAGAGGCACTCACCGTACGAGGACTAGCGGACGCTACTACTAACTCAACCGCTCGGGGGCGGCGGTTTAATAAAGTTTTTGAACTCTGTGTGTACTTTATGTATGTGTAGAATTAAAAAAAATAGATACCCGTCTAAATAGTAAAGTAATAAAAAATTAACTAATATATTTTAAAAGGTGAAAAAAAAAACGCGCAACGCCAAACACTCACACTGAAATATCATACCACATCCACTGCTGTTATAAAATACCAACCACAAAAGTTATTTATGGATATTTGACACGTTAAAAGAAGAAAAAAGCATAATGATGATGACGAGGATTAGGATGTATGGTACGATTTGAAACACCCTTTTATGCACAAAGGTACTCCACAAGCTTCGCAACAGAAAGTTGTCTTTGATGACCTTCGGCCTTCACGAAAGCAAACAATACAGCGCTTTCTAAAACTTTGCTTGCTTGCTATGCTTTTGTCAGTTTGACTCAGTAGAGCAGGCCAATGTGCAGAAAGAGTGTTTTTAAGAGGTTGATGATGAGCAGATCTGGACGAGGACACATTGAACGTTCGTCTTTGCGGACAGCGTGATAAATGGTGGGTGAGAATGGAGTCGACAAGTTGAAGGCGGAAAGCAAGATGGTCATGCGGCTTATGTGTTGATGACTGTAGAAGAACGCGAGAATTGTGGATTGAATAGTTGATAAAACGTTTAAAAAGCTTCATGCACCACTTGGCACAACGTTTCCGTTCCAATAAATAAGGCTCTAGCATCTGGTCTTTCAAATCAACCCCTCCCATGAACTTATTGTAGTCCAGTACCATTTGCGGTTTGAATGGTACTGGCCGAGACGAAGGCCGCGACGTAACTGTAGGCAAGGCAATTGATGCATCATGACATGTAGAAATCATGGTGATTCGTTTTTTGTCTTGCCATGCTAACACTGAAACATCGCCAGAATGTCTAGCAACAATCTGTCCCCTACTAAGCGGAGCCTTATTTATCACAACGGGAACATCTTTGCGAGGAACTCTCAAAGTCCCGACGCAGTCAGTACCATTGAGCTTCAGAAACCTAGCTAATAGGGGTGAATTGTACCAATCATCCATAAATAATCTGTATCCTTTGTTTAGTAAGGGACCAATGAGCTTTTTCACTACTGCAGTACTTTTAAGTACACCGGGTGACTGATTCAAGTCTGTAGTTGATTGTTTACCAGTGTAAACAATAAAGGACCAGACATAGCCCGTGACACTCTCGCAGAGTTCAAAAGTTTTGATCCCAAAATTAGCAGCTTTAGACCGAATATACTGTTTGATATTCAATTTTCCTTTCCATAAGGTCAAACTCTCGTCTATGCAAATATCTTTATTTAAAACATAATTTGATTGAAATTTTTTATTCAAATGAGTGATAATTGGCCTCAAACAGTGTACTCGATCCAGGCTTCTAGCAGCGCCAGTGTTGGATGGATTTCCATCATTAAAAGCGGGGTCAGACTCTACAAAATTTAGTGCTCTAGTTAAGTTTATGTATCTCTTTCGGGTGAAAATGGTTCTAAAAATATCTGTTTTCAAAAGCGGATCTACAGAAAAACAACTAGTAACAGTTGGCATTCTGATGATCGCTAACATCATCCAGAACGAAAAGAGACACAAAATTTCGTCAATATTAGTGGGATACCAATCGGACTGGAAAGCGGCAGATGCAATTTTGGTAGCGTAAGAGTTCGTCTCAGCTACAATGTGGCCCAAAATGTCATCATCCCAAAAGGAACGAAAAGCATCATATGCCGAATTGTGAAACTGAACCGAACCACTTCGCTCAGGTACAAAATTCTCCTCCTGACCTTGAAAAGAGTCCATAGGAGACCATTCAAAGTGGAGGTTCTGGCCTTCCAGCCGAGGAAGACTATCCGTTCCATCACTGGCGATAAAAAATTCATCCTCATTTTCGCTCTCGCTTGCATTCTCTCCTTCTATTCTGTTTCCTCTCTGACTATTACTTTCGGCTCCAGCAGCATCTCTTATTCTCATCTCCCGTCTCCTCATAACATCCCTCGCCAAACTTACCAATTCAGGGGGGACGTCGTCATCAGTCAAATAAATTTGACACAGTGGCTGTCCCACCTCCCACTGTTGTCGCCCCCTACGGCCCCATTGCGGATGCCCAAGCGCTCTTCCTCGTCCAACTACACCACGAGCACCCCTTCTTCCACTCTGCCGCCTTTCACCCGTTCCCGGGGACACAAACATTGCATGGGCATCCGGGGCTAAAAATACGTCGTCCATGACGACGTCATCCATGCCGGCGTCTTCATCTAAAACTTCTATAACCACCGTTGTTTCACTGCAAAAAAAAATAATTTTACTCCACGTCAATTTCATCAATATGTATTAATAAAAACAAATAAATGAAACTTACAACTCAGATGGCTGGTATGATCTAATAGGAGACCTGTCACGGCCTTCCGGAGATGTGGCTGGGAAACGATTCCCTTCCTAAAACATAGGTACAAACAAAAATATCCATGGAAATCACTTCACGAAAACATACAAAATTCAGTAGGTATCAACGCAAACATAACACAAAAATGCATCACCTCGAATCCGACTGCTTCCACATCATTACCGGACTGGTCGCGACGTTCAGGTGATATTAGAGGAGAGTAAGGTGGAGTCTCAGGTGACGACGCGCGCTCCTCTCCCTCCTAAACATACAAAAAGTATATATAAGTCTATTCCGCACATCTTCCTCTTAAAACGTACAATAAGTGTGCGTGTTAAAACATTTGAACCGAACACAAACAACAACGTAATGCAAGTGTAAATCAGACAAAGAAAGTGAGATTAGTGCAAATCAAAACGTAATACCCATAGAATACTATAATACACAATAGAATGGCTGTCAAACTTATTTTGTACGAGATTCGGCGTCGCCGGGAGCATACATACAAGCAATTATGTCGTATTATCACTACTACAAACCCGATTTGCTGTTTTGACAGACTGAGTAAATTTACACATTTTAGACTTTTGATTAATGTTCAAAATCATCATTAAAAAAAATAGTTTAAATTTTACTACATATTTATATGTAAATAGTGTGCAATTTGGTATTTTCTAAATAATTTGCATGCGAAATTTGGAAAGGATTGTTACGTCAAAACACATCTCGTGTTGACATTTATACATTTGAATTGACATGTTAGTGGTTACACGGGCTCCGCCCACTCCCCCGTTCCATTATGTATGTATTATAGTATTCTATGGTTAATACCAGTGTTAACCAGGCATGAAAAACATAATACCAGGGGTAAATTGATAAAACAAACCCAACACCAATAAAAACAGATGCAATTTGCGTGATGGCACCGCATGCGCGATTAATTCACATGTTTGTCACAAAGAAATGTCACTTTACGTGAGATTAGTGCGAACCAGGCATAAAAAACATTAAGAAACACCAGTGAAAATGTGCGTGATGCAAATGCCTGCGCGGTTAATTTACATGATTGCAACAAGATGATGTGACTTTATGAAGCACCATATTATTGCATACATGTTTTACCTTTCTTTTTTTTCTTTTGCATGTTTGCTCAATACTGTGGAATTTAATGTACACACTTAATATTTTACAATAATAATAATAACAAATTATAAAACACATAAAAATGTGGATGCTGACCTCATCATCATCTGGTTCGAACTCACTGTCCTCCGAAAGATCTTCATCATCAGCATAAAGCTGGCTGATGAAGTCTGCGGGTGGCTCGTCGTTTTCTCTCCAAGTTGACATCTATAATATGAAATAAAATAAATAATTAAAAAGATATATTTTCACAGCACACTGTATATCACACAGGTATAAGTATCATAATATATTCTAACAAATTATTTCCTTCCTAATGTAATAATAATAATAATTTTTACGCCAAACAATGTAATAAACAAAAATACAAACATTATTTCCACACCAAACAACATTATAAACATATTACAAAATACCACCTCTCTATCGATATAAACTATCAACACATCCCGTTATTATTCCAATCACTGCCGATGATAGATGCAACACCATAGTTACATAAAAATAAAGCTTAAAATGGCTTGCTGATTGTCGACTGTGGAGACCACTAGAGCTGGGCAGAAAACCCTTTTGTAAAAAACGAAACGAAACAGTTTTTAGACAAAAAGAAAGTTTAAAGAAATTGTTTTTTAAAAAACACGCTCCAATGATTCATATTGTGTGTGTAAAAGGAACTTCCCTTTATACTTTATCCAGATTTAGGACTGGCAGAAAAATATTTTATTTTATTTTATTTAAAAATATATTGACAAACGAGCACACAGTCCACCTGATAATAAGTGGTTACTGTGGCCCATAGACATCTACATCTATACTCGATTATGAATCAAAATGCAGATGCGTTGTCACCCGTGAGGACTAAGATGGAATGCCTCGTTCCCAGTAAATGGGTGACTTAACTTCTTTGGTAAAGATATAATCTCACAAAATAACTTTCTCAGTTCTGTAATAATTATAACTTAAACTAGATACATTTATTACCTTTTATCACATACATACAAAAATGGAAAATAAAATTTAAACTTCTATTCAACTTTTATATGTTTACTGAGATCAACTATTCTTTTGGTGTTTGGAGCAAATAAAAACAAATGATATATTAATAATTTTTCATAGGTTAGTTATTGAGATCAATTAACTTTTCAGAGAACAATAATATACTAAATTATAATTTATAATATAATAGCTTAATTAAAAATGACAACTAAAAATATATGTGAAATTATCAAAAACTTTAAGTAATCATTATTGTAACTATAAACTCAAAATGTAAAAAAAATAATCAAAATTACCAAACATTTAGGTATTTTAATATTTTTACTCAGCTAGTAAATTTTCGACATCATCAAATATAAGCTGACCTCTGCGATTTATATTGGGTTCTTTTAATACTTTAAAAATAAAATTTTTAGTGACACAGTCTTCATCATCTTTGTTCGGCCAAGAAAAAACATTTACGGTGTTTTTTATCCTTCTGAGAGATTTTACTATAAAGTGTTATCATGATTAATATTTATCACTTGTCCAATAAAATACTTTATGGCAGTATTCTTCTTTAACTGACATTGGTACGATGTAACAACCCACGAGCCTATTTATTAATTATTCCATATTCTCATATGGATCTCTTAGCTTTGCCTTTTCTAATCCTGTTATATTGGAAGATGCTTCGTCAAATTCACTACCTAACGGGTCAACGCATGACACATTCGTTGAATCGGAGATAGCTTCATTATCTGCTGTAGAAGCACCCGGCAAAGCGATTAATGTTTCGGCATAAATTGGAGCAGCCTCAAATGGGGTTGACGTCTCAAACATCACAATTTCGGATGGTTCTAGCGTAATATCTAAATCTGAATTAATATCATTAACTGCCGACGTTTCTATAATCATGCTAACATCTTGAGACAAACAGAACGTTTGTTCTTCAAATTTCGCAGTTTTGATGTCTTGTAACTCTCTTGGTAACTCTGCGTTCATATGAGCTAAAAATGCTTCCGATCTTTGAATTTTAGCAACTTCAAGTGACGAGCATGACACACGTTCTCCCTCATCTTCCCCATCACTTTTTGGATTTTGGAGCAAATGCTCTTCAAACTGGTTTTGGAAATTATTGCGAGATCTTTCTTCACGACTTGGCACGAGTACAACATTGGAAACAATCACAAGTTCTTTAGAAGAGTTTGGCTGATTCGACTCTTCTGTGGGATCTTCAGAATCTGATCAGGTGGCGTATTTTTTTCTTGTAACATTTTAAGTTCTTTTTTCTTTCTTCTTAATTTCTGTTGGTTTATCTTCCATTTTTTTCTCTGTGCCCTCTTTGCTTTAATTCTTTAATTGGTAAATAGCGAGCTTTTTCTTTTTCTAAGTATTCTTTGTATAGCTCAGGGTTAGACTTTATTTTGTTGCGCCTTTTTTGTTCCGCTAATCGTTTTTTTTTTCTAACATTTCTTCTCTATTTACTGGCTTTTTACGTCGTGGCATGTCTATTTTTTTGTCTAGAACAAGCAAAATTGGCGTATATAATGCACAATGCTTATTTACATACCAATTACAATCGGTACTAGTCTAAAAGAACTGTTAATATTTAATTATGTATTATATGTAAGTCATTATCATGTTATCGTCGTCATTACCGTGGCTTAAAACAACCACGGTAATACATGTTAATGACAAACACTGTAATGACAAAATCAAATATTATTCGCATAACATTGCAGGGTTAATGTTCCGGAATATGTTCTGTTGCTTATGTCATAACAAAATGGTTAAATAATTAGGGAAAATAAAACCTATTCTAATATTCTGTGTACTTACCGAGGAAGTAGACCCACAATAAAGACAATTTTTTCTGACAAAAACCACGGTAACACCCTTTTTCTTCACTTTTTTTTTAAATCAGTCAGGATGTGCGACGTGCGTTTTCGATGACGGCTGCATGGTGGCTGGGAGGTGCGCGGGGCAGTTGCAGAAATTTTATACAGCTGTTGAGTGATGTACTACACGTCGCGACATGAACTGACATGGGAATGACTGTTTTCGCTTGGGACAATATTTACGATGTTGTTATTCTATCACTTTCAATTTGATTTCATTTGTTAAATCTAAGATATTAGTAATGATTATTAAGCTTTATATTAAATAGTGACTTTGGCTTATAAACATACTATTAAGATGACATTTTTGCTGAAATAATGACGATAATGTTATATGGGACACACATGGTAGTGACGTTTTGACTTTTTAATGATAAAAAAATACAAGATTTATTATAAAATACCCAAAATGTATAAGTACTCCTTGTACTGTACATTCAGTACTATATGTAATAGTATGGCATGGTATAAATCCAACTTAGTTTTAAGGGGGAAATTCACCCGGACATCCGATTTACACCAAATGAAATAATTACCCTTTGGCAAATAATTATTCTTTGGGTATTATAAACTAAATATAAATAATATAATCTTAAGTAAGTATTCAAAAAGCAGGACTATAATGATCACTGTCCACTCTGTGTTCAAATTCAATAATGATAGTTGTCCAAATGACTGGTTTAGTTATATTCTGATTTTGCTTCAGGCCTACAGAACTTTTTCAGAAACTGCAAGTCGTAATATTTCGCTGTTGATATAGTCATCCTGTCTTGATAAGCTAAATCGAGAGTATCGAGACTGAGAAAACAATTGACAAGATGACGGGCATTGTGAGTTTGTGAGGCGATGGACATTTATCATTATTGCCGTGAACACGTATGACGCTGAGCGTTCTAGCCGTGTATACAATTAATAAAAATGTATTTATCTCGAAACTGTAAGCGATATTGTCGAGTCTGTAAATGAGATTATTAACTGCATATATTAAGTGTCCGATTGACGTACTTACTTATAATTACAAGAATTTAGGACATTCATCGTTATTGCATTGGACTCTACTTATATGTTCAGTACATGAAATTTGTCGAAATTTTATTTTCATTAAAAATCATTATATACTTCGATATATACTTGTTTGTTATTTTGATGTTTATTTATCATGTTGTATTACTTGTTTTCCTTCATTACAAAAAGACTATTGTATTTTGATAACAAAAAACCAAGCGGATGTTCGCACCGTGAAAATTAATATTATTTCTATATATTTCTCGAAATTATTTACGAAAAAGATAAATAATATTCACACAAAAACTTTCATAACAATTTTATAATAAGAAACTGTATTTACCTTAGAAAAATCTAAAAATCAACAACACAATTCAAAAGCAGAACAACAACCCACAGACTAGGAATGGTCGTTACAAAACGTAACTAGTTACTTGAACTATCTATTCATACAATAGCGGGTAGCGGGTTATTGCAGTGCAACGAAACTATCTATTACAGTAGATGTTTTACTCAGTAACACGATTCACGTTTCACGAATCACGAACGAGCGATCAGTAACAATAACAAAACGTTTATTTCGTTATTTTCGCGACGCATCGGCGACGGCTTTGGCTGTTGAAGTAGAAGCACAAGAAGAGTAAAGAAACCGAATCTTTACGCTGTGGTAGAAGTACCACCGGTCGTCGAATGTCGAGTGAACGCGGGTGCTTTTGCATTTGACCTATGACTCTATTCCCTTCGTATAGATGCGACATTAAAAATGAGAAAGTAACTGTGCATGTTTTTAACAAAAAATAGTTCAAATTCTATAATTTAAGTGGCCTTGGCCCGGTTTAAATTAGTCTTGTGTTTAAGTTTAATGACACGGTTTGTTTTTACTTTTTAGGCGCGTTTGTTAATATTTTTGTTTTCTTTTTGTGCAATAATAATAATATTTTTAGTAAAATAAGAACTAAGTATTATTGCATATATTAGTGTTAATAATAATAATTGTACAGTAATTAGTGTAAGTAACTAAGTGTAAAAATAATAGTAAAACGTTACGTGATAGTTATCAAAAATATATAACTTTATGTGATAATTATTTGCTATAAAATCAAACTTATATTCAGTATTTTATGCTGAACTTGTGGGTGAATTTATCATAATCATAATTAATAAATAAATCGTTTGCCGTTAAATAAGTGATATTTTTGTCAAACCGTGCGAAATGATTTAACAAATAAATAAATTTAACCATTAACACCATGTCTAATTCTATACGAAACGGTAACAAACAAGTTTTCTCGTGAAACGGAGATCGTTTCATCCGCAACGTTTTTC